CATGTACTTGTAGTAAAATAAAGATATATATATATATATATATATATATATATATATATATATATATATATATATATATATATATATATATATATATATATATATATAATCAGTAACAACACTGCGACTAGCCAGGGGATCGAACCCGTGTTGTTTTAGCCCACCTCGTAGTGAGCGAAAATTAACGACACTAACCCACCGGACCATACAATCAGATACCATACAAGGATTGTATGGTCCAGTGGGTTAGAGCGTCGCGAATTTTCGTTTACCATGAGGTGGGCTAAGACCTGCCCAGCATGGTTCAGGAGGTCTGCAGTGCTCGTCAATATTTATATTCTTATAATATGCATAACATGGCGCCTGCGCATACATTGTATGTACTACGCAACAACCTGTGGCATAAAACAGTCATAAAAGAAAAGGTTTGTTTGGAGCAGGGAGGCAGGACCAGTGGGCAGCTCCTGCATTTATCTGCCAGCGGCCCCAACCCTCCCTTCGTAAATAAACTGCAAGCAGATCATGTTATAAAGATGGCAGCAGGTGTGAGTAACGTGCATATCAGTGTGAGTTCCCCTCTCTCATTTTGTGGGGGTCGAACCCTAGCTCCTGACCCTGTTATTATTATTTGTGAGGAGCAGTGAAGACAAAAGTGCAATCACTAGGACATGATTACTGGAAAAGTTTCGGTCCTGGGATATGTATTCACTGGAGCGCAGGCGATAGAGATACAACATAATGTAAACCTGGAAGATCCTGGAGGGACTGGTCCCTGTTCTGTACACAGAAATCACTCCCTACGAAAGCAAAACACTTGGCAGGGGGTGCAACTTACCCCCATTGAAAAGTAGGGGCGCCATTAGTTTACCTGGAGAGAGTTCCGGGGGTCAACGCCCCCGCGGCCCGGTCTGTGACCAGGCCTCCTGGTGGATCAGAGCCTGATCAACCAGGCTGTTGCTGCTGGCTGCACGCAAACCAACGTACGAACCACAGCCCGGCTGATCAGGAACTGACTTTAGGTGCTTGTCCAGTGCCAGCTTGAAGACTGCCAGGGGTCTGTTGGTAATCCCCCTTATGTGTGCTGGGAGGCAGTTGAACAGTCTCGGGCCCCTGACACTTATTGTATGGTCTCTTAACGTGCTAGTGACACCCCTGCTTTTCATTGGGGGGATGGTGCATCGTCTGCCAAGTCTTTTGCTTTCGTAGTGAGTGATTTTCGTGTGCAAGTTCGGTACTAGTCCCTCTAGGATTTTCCAGGTGTATATAATCATGTATCTCTCCCTCCTGCGTTCCAGGGAATACAGGTTTAGGAACCTCAAGCGCTCCCAGTAATTGAGGTGTTTTATCTCCGTTATGCGCGCCGTGAAAGTTCTCTGTACATTTTCTAGGTCGGCAATTTCACCTGCCTAGTATACTAAGAGAAAACACAATAAGTTTCTGGGGCCCAAGACTGTTCAACAGCCTCCCACCAGCCATAAAGGGAATTACCAATAGACCCCTGGTTGTCTTCATGAGCGAGCTGGACAGATACTAAAAGTCGGTGCCGGATCAGCAGAGCTGTGGTTCGTATGTTGGACTACGTGTGGCCAGCAGTAACAGCCTCGTTGATCAGGCCCTGATCCACCAGGAGGCATGGTCATGCTCCGGGCCGCGGGAGTGTTGATCCCTGGAATGCCCTCCAGGTAATACACATGGTATCATACGCCTTTGTATCCAAGAAGCGCTAAACCGATAAAGGTCATTGAGAATATCCTCGCAATCTAGCACTTTTTATATTTAGAAAAACAGAATTCATAAGCAATATGTTGTTCCCATCAGCCATGTTATAGCCACATAGTTGGAAAAGTTGTGCTTCCCTGCTATATTCCATCACCCATGATAGACCACATAATTAAGGTGTAATCTGTCAGCTAGAGCTGAGAGAATAATGTAGAGCAATTAGTATAATGTCAAGTATGTCATTAAAGGTTTCTCAGCTATGGGATCTTTAGCTGTTAAGGAGAGGGGAAAGAATAATCAAGTTTGATCTGAGGAAGGGTAGGGTAACTCCAATTCTTGGGTTAAAATAATGGAGATGCTGAAGCTCTTCAATTTTGTGTGACTGTTAGAAATGTTATAATCGAAACGCCTGCGGCTGTGATATGAACATCGCTAGTTCAACATGTTAGTATACTTGGGTACATCATGAGGTGGGAGGGAGCATACTGACCAAGGAGATTTATTGAGAAGTTTCTATAACAAACTTCATTCCATTAAACCGAGTGTAGGTTATGGCCGTCTTCTTGTCATCAGTGTTGAGGTTGGGAGGCTACTCTCTCCTGTCTTCGCATTGGCCACACTCGTCTTACTCGGGTATCTCGTGGAGAGGCGCCCTGTTCTTCTCTGTGAGAATTGTCAGGTTCCAGTATCTGTTATCCACATTCTGTTGGACTGCCCACTCTATCAACGAGCGTGAAGAATTTACCTCTAACGTTGTCTCCACTCTTTCTTTACCCTCCCTTTTTGCTGATGGACCCTCCTTTAATCCGGACTCTCTCGTTGACTTTTTGACAACTGATATACTCCACAAAATCTGATGATGATACCTTTAGCAGTCCCCTCAGCCCTTTCTATCTCAATCTCTTGCTACCCTCTACCCCTGCATTACCCACTGTCCCGCTGTCCTCCATAACCTACTAATCATCCCTCTCCCTCTTGCTACTGGATGCCCCTCACATCCTTCCCTGCCCTGCAGCACTGTTTAGCCATGGTGGTTTAGCACTTCTTTTTTATTTTAATAATAATAATAATAATAATAATAATAATAATAATAATATTGAGAAGTTTGATTTCAATTTGTACCACAATCACTCACTCAGTATTCTAGCCAAATTGATTTTGCCCAACCAAAACACTAGACTATCAGGTGACAAGAATGGGTTTCTTGGCCCATGTTAAGCAGATTCTTCTCTATTTCAAGCCCCGCTTATTCGTATCTGATAAGTGATTTGTCATATGCGAAACATCTCCTTTAATAAATGTCTTGACTGTATATGTGTTACATTCCCACAATAAACAGTAGACACCGAGCTTCACCAAACTTACATTACACACAAAAATACAAAGTAGTGTCATATCTAGCTTAAGTAGTGAAAGATGGTTACATGTTTAAACAATGCACGAATACTTATGTTCAGGGCCAAAAGCCACCAAGGGTATGTATCTATGTCCCCCCCCTAGCCTAGTTACTAGCAACATTCAAGTGACTTGTGGTGCGTCACGCTCATGGCTGAACTTAACACATGTGTCGAGATTGCTGTGACTGTGCAGATTTGGACTAGGCCCGCAAGTACTTTCCAGGGTGTAATGGATATGTGGCTCAGCGGGCTACCAGCAGCAACAGCCTGATTGACCAGGCAAGCACCAGACAAGCCTGACCCATGGCCGGGCTCCGGGTGTAGAAAAACTCTCAGAACTCATCTAAGGTATGTACATGATAATGCGTGGAAAGTAGTTCATGGCCTGGTCCCAAATCTGTACACTGCCGTAACAATATACAAAAGTGAGAGCGCCGTGGACACAATAAGAGAACATTGTATCAACATCCATGCCCCCAGACTTTTTTTGTTTTTTTTTTTTTAACATTTTACAGAAGATATCAGAAACACTGCCGGAACAAGTCCAGGTACTTGTCCAGTTTCTTCATTTAAGAAGAAAACTGGTCAAATACTTCAGCTAAGTGCCAGATCAACCAGGCTGTGATGGATATGTGGGCCAGCGGGCTGCCAGCAGTAACAACCTGCAATGATGTTGTTAGAATCACTGTCAATATGTTAGGTAAAAGGACACACACGTGCAGCTATGTGATATTTTACTGCGGCAACGTTTCGATCCAGATTTGTCCAGAAACGTTACCACAATAAAATTACACATTATTTACACATGTCCTTTTACTTTACAGCACCAGCCTGGTTAACCAGACAAGCCTGGTCCAGGGCCGGGCAGTGGGTGTAGGAAAATTCTCGAAACCCATCAAAAGTGTATATCAGTATACTGTAGCTATAAATTTTCACGTATAACAATAATAATCGTAATAATATTTTTATTTACTACAAGTACATGTATAAGGTATACAGACCATAGCTGATATCAATGACATACTACTAAATAGAAAGCCGCTTGTTATGCTGAGTATTTCCCGCAAATTAGGTCAGTGTCCCAGGATGCGACCCAAACCAGTCCACTAACACCCAGGTGCCCATTTTACTGATGGGTGAACATAGACAACATATGTAAAGAAACACTCCCAATGTTCTACCCTCGCTGGGAATCGAACCCAGACCCTCGCCATGTGAAGCGAGAGCTTTAACCAGAGCCACCAGAATATTAGTCAGATTTATTATTATTATTATTATTATTATTATTATTATTATTATTATTATTATTATTATATTGACGGTGAAGCGCTAAAGCCGTAGGGGGTCGTACTGCGCCTGGCAACTGAGAAGTAAACATGATAAATTAAAGTAAATATACCTCCATTACCTTGGTTCTAGAGCCCTTCACCAGTATCTAGGCACCTCCCGTGAAAGGTAATGAGACTGTAGAGTTTAGAATTAATATCAGAAAATAAATTAACCCGTTCAAAATCATCGAAATGTGCAATAACATTATAACACAATTTTCTAAAAAAAAATTTTAATGTGTCACGTATTAAAAAAAAAATCCTGTGAAATATTCAATAATATGGACTTTACAAGTGACCTAAAATAACCAGTATTTAATTTTGTCTTTGTATATATCAGTTGGAAGCTGAAGTATTTTTAATACAGAAAAGGAATACATGTATGTAGTATTTTGACTACAGGGTTGTATTAATTAAAAACTGAAAAGACCCCAGTGGAAATGAGTCACTTTTTTTTTTGGGGGGGGGGGGGGGGGTATCCTATTAAATTTACATTGTGTTTTATAATTGTATTTATGTGTTCCTGTGATTAAATAAATTGGTGTTTCTTGGTCAGGATCAGAGCTTACCCCACCAGGATCAAAGATAAGACAGGACGGAGGGAAGATCTTACTCGCTGGGAGATACAGAGAGAAATAAGACTGGCAACGGAGGTGAGTATTCTGTGAGAGGTTAAGTTGGTTGTTGGGGGTGTTTCAGGGGGTCAGCGGCCCGGTCCTTGACCAGGCTTGATCAACCAGGTGTTTTCCTCGCTGATGTGGTAGTGGAAAATGATGGGATGGATAGTGAGAAGTTCATAACAAAATTATCTTTTATCACCGCCACCACCAACCACCCAACACCACTACTCACCAACACTACTCACCAACACTACTCACCACCACTACTCACCACCACTACTCACCATCACCACTCGCCACCACCAACAATCAACCACCAACCCCAATCACCAACCACCAACACCAACCACCAACACCAATCACCAACACTAACCACCAACACTAACCACCAACCACCAACACCAACCACCAACACCAACCACCAACACCAACCACCAACACCAACACTAACCACCAACCACCAACACTAACCACCAACACCAACACTAACCACCAACACCAGCCACTAGATGACGCAGGGACTTTATTAGGTTATCCAGGATGGTTGACTCTCCGGGTTAAAAACTTCAGCAAAATCTTATTTTAGCAGAGCCACCCCCCTCCCCCTCCTTCCCCAACACACCATCACTACCATCAATAACTATCCATCCTCAACCTCCCCCACTATTGTAAGTTAGGAATGGATGATAACAAACAAGTTTCAACTCAAAACATGTCTTGATTCTTGTTTGTGTGTATGTCATAATGTTAGTCAGTATGTCTGATGTATCTTGCAGAAATAGCAACTATTGACAAGTTAAAAACTATATTTTTGCAGTATCGTACACAAACTACTTTGCCCCTCTAAGGAGGTACCTGGTGAGAGTTCTTGATCCATGGAAGTGGATGTATTTTTCCTTTCCTTGGATCAAGTTTAAGTGCCTACCTCTCCCCATATGATGTATGACCCCAGTGGGTTTAGCACTTTCCCCCCTAACATGGTTCTTGTGCATTTGTGTAACGGAATGTTGTTATGATTGAGCAATAATTTTAATGTTATTATCTTAATTGCTTTGATGGAGATAAGAAACGATTTTGTTTGCATAATCCTTAAGATCTTATTTATTTTCTTAAATGTATAATTGGATAATGTAATGGCTGTAGTCCACCTTTTACTTTAAGCACAGCTATGTTCTTTATGTGTTATTTTCTTCTTTGGAAACATAAACACATATGCAGTTTAATGTGATCCTTTATTGACAACGTTTCACCCACACAGTGGGCTTTTTCAAGTCACACACAGATCTTCATTTTCTTCTTTATTGATATTATAATAAGTGTTTTAGCTTTTTACCTCTGATGTATTACTGAGGGATGCCAATTGAATAATATACATTCCCCATCTATGAAAACATCAAAATTAGTTTCGTACCCTGACTTTATTTAAATAATTTTTAATAGACATGAACAAAATCCAAATTTTAAGATTAAAAGCCTATAAAATAATTTAGAAATACCCCATCCTTTCATAAACTTATCTACCAATAAATAAATACTACTGTAATTGTAAACTCTTGTGGCTTAGCGCTTCTTTTTGATTATAATAATAATGTAATTGTAAACTGTGTTCATACTCCATCCTCTTATACAATGGAACCTCAGCTTTTGTGATTAATTTGTTCCAGAAAGTCTGATGAAAACCGAATTGTACGAAAACTGAAGCAATATAAGAAATAATGTAAATCCAATTAATCCGTTTCAGACACCCAAAAATATTAAAAAAAAAAATACATTTTATAGAGAATAACTATAGTTTTACATACAGAAAACAATGAGAAATAAATATAAATGACTAATGAAATGGATAAATGAACATTTAACATCACTTTTACCTTTATTGAAGACTTGTTGGCATGGAAGATGGTAAGGAGGGGAGAGGGAGGAGGAAAGGTTATTGTTTGGAAGGGGAATCCCTTTCCATAAGGACTTCAGTTATCAAGGCCCTGTCTGGGGTTACTTCCCTTCTTAGTCTTTTTCTGCACTAGGATCAGCTTGAGAGTCACTGGACCCCTGTCGCACAAAAAAATATGTTCAGAGAAGTCTGTTTCTGGTGTCTCTTTCAGATTTGCCTAAAATGGAACAAGGCATTGTCACTGAACATGTTGCAGACATGGCTTGCAACAGCTTTGTTAGGGTGATATTTCTCCACAAAACATTGCAACTCATTCCACTTTGCACACATGTCCTTAATCACTGAAGAAGGCACATTCTCACAATGCTCATTTAACAAGAAACAAAGCTGTACTGAGTCAGAACGTGTGGGATGCTTTGTGTGGGCGCTGGCAGGTGGACGTGTTTGGTACGGCGGACCATTGTCAACTCTACGAAAACCGAGTGGATGTACGAAAACTGGGACAAAATTTTGACGAAAAAAGTCATCGAAAACCGAATCCTATAAAAACCGGGGCATACGAAAACCAAGGTTCTGCTGTATTTTTCATCTTGGGAGGAAACCCCAGATGCCCATCAGGAACCTAATTTATCCAATCGTTCACCAGCAATTTCATTAGTAATTTCTGAAGAAGCTTTAATGGTGAACTTTTAAATTTTATCCATCAATTAGCATTTCCTGCCATCAGTTTTCTTTGTACTGGTCTATATTTTCCATAATTTTTTTAAATACCCGAGCTGTAACATATGAGAAGTCCTTAGTACAGTGGACCCCCGGTTAACGATATTTTTTCACTCCATAAGTACAGTGGACCCCCGGTTAACAATATTTTTTCACTCCAGAAGTATGTTCAGGTGCCAGTACTGACCGAATTTGTTTCCATAAGGAATATTGTGAAGTAGATTAGTCCATTTCAGACCCCCAAACATACACGTACAAACGCACTTACATAAATACACTTACATAATTGGTCGCATTCGGAGGTAATCGTTATGCGGGGGTCCACTGTATGTTCAGGTGCCAGTACTGACCGAATTTATTCCCATAAGGAATATTGTGAAGTAGATTAGTCCATTTCAGACCCCCAAACATACACATACAAACGCACTTACATAAATACACTTACATAATTGGTCGCATTCGGAGGTAATCGTTATGCGGGGGTCCACTGTATTAAGTGAAACTGAGACCAGGCATAATACTTTGAAAATATTATGCTGTACTTTATATTGTAATTAGCTGTACAGTTTTCAGTGGAATAGACGTAATGTTAATGATTGTATGCTCTATTGGATGGATTGTGACTCACAAAATTGTAATAACACGATTGGAAACAAACCACAGTACAGGTGGCATGTAAGTCATAAAACTCCAGGCCAGTGTGCAAGCCACTGGGTCAGCTGGCTACAATAAATAAATATACATAGTTGGATGAATCTTATTGTTGCTATGTAGCCCAGTGGCTTTCACACAGGCCTGGAGTTTTTTGATTCACTTGCCATGGGTTTCTAACCCCAGCTGTACCCTGGTTTATATTGGCTGGTGTATAGTGACCAGTAGAAGTAGGGATGTGGCCTCTAGTCTTCCAGTCTAACCTGCAGTGATCTCACTTGTTATTCTTTCTGCTTAACAGGTTTGGGATAGAGCGTCTCGACTTGTATTTTTCGAACTTCAACACAACCCAGAAGAAGCAGACATCATCATTGACTTTAAAACGTATGTGCCTCTATGTCGTATTATTTATGTTTATCAGGAAGAATAAAGAGTTCCTATTTGCTAGTCTTTTTGTTGATTTTATAGAAGTCTTCTAAAATATAATGCAGTTATTTTAAAACTTCTTTATGCTTTAAAATGAAGTTGTATATTGTACTGCTCAGTATTTCATTGTAACATTTCATTTTGGTCACTTGTTTGTCTATACGCTGTATAAGGCATAATGTATTTATTAACTGCTTTAAGTAATTTTATTAAGAAAATCACTACCCCGAATTAAAACTACTGTAAATAAATGGTTATCCTTGGTTATTATTGTTATTATGGTTATTATTGACGAGTTGTTGGAGTGTGAGCAGGGTAATATTTAGTGAAGGGATTCAGGGAAACCGGTTATTTTATATAACCGGACTTGAGTCCGGGAAATGGAAAGTACAATGCCTGCACTCTAAAGGAGGGGTTTGGGATATTGGCAGTTTGGAGGGATATATTGTGTATTTTTTATACGTATATACTTCTAAACTGTTGTATTCTGGGCACCTCTGCAAAAACAGTGATTATGTGTGAGTGAGGTGAAAGTGTTGAATGATGTTGAAAGTATTTTCTTTTTGGGGATTTTCTTTCTTTTTGGGTCACCCTGCCTCGGTGGGAGACAGCCGACTTGTTGAAAAAAAAAAAAATGGTTATCCTATATATTATCATGTGAATTCAATGAAATTTGTATAATACTCACAAGAGTCAAGTGCACGTACAGTTTTTATTTTGAAAGTTTTCCTCAATTTAAAATCTTTGCGAAATTCTTCAAAATACTCTAGTTTTTGATGAATATTTTTTGTTATGAGTAAGTGGAATTTTCTTTATTATTGAAATAATTTCCATTCAGGGGCTATCATGGGGATGGATATCCTTTTGATGGGCCAGGACGCACCCTAGCTCATGCTTTCTACCCTGGCCGGGGTATTGGTGGAGATATGCATTTTGATGACCAAGAACCCTGGGTACAACACAAGGACTCCAACAATAGTGAGTGCATCTTACATGGCCCTTATTATCCTTGATACACTAACAGATGTGACATACATATATGAAGATATGCAAATAATACGGATAATATATTTATAATACAGTATAGCAGAATTATTGTAAGTGATTTATGCTGTCATATTGTAAATATGTACTAAAGTAAATACGTATATACAGTATACTGTACATAGTAGTTTATATTATTTTTGTAGTTTACAATTAAACAAAATATATACTACTTTCATGAAGAAAGCAAAAGGATATCCATTTAAAAAATCAGGAAAAATATGCTGTATGCTATATTTTTACTGCATAATTTTCATAAAGTAAATACATGGTGTATATACGTACTATAATTTGTAAGCATTTCCTCTCTCTTTGTAGCATGGGATCGAGTGAGTCTCTTCATAACAGCAGCTCATGAACTTGGTCATGCACTGGGTCTGTATCATTCTGATGTTGAAGGTGCTCTCATGAGTCCTTACCTCATCAAGTTCCCCATCACCTTCCGCTTACCTGAGGATGATGTCAGAGGCATTCAGGAGTTGTATGGTGGGTTCATATGGTTGTATTTTTCCATACTACTTTATGATGGATATGTAATAGATGGTATTGATATTTAAGTGCTACTGAGTACTGTACAAGAGGGCTGTGTGAAAGCCTCTTCTAACTTGCTGTAATTAATCTTTGAGGTGAAAGAAATACGGTATGGTTTTTGGATAATTTGCTTTACACGATTTGTTGACCAAGATATTTCAGCAGAAGGATTTAGGAAGGGTAGGGGAAATGTAGAGCAAGTGGTTACATGGTAGCATGTAAGTTTTTAAGCTGGATGTGTATCTTTCCTTTACTTCATCATCTCACTTGATCTGTTTGTCACAATTTCCACCTTCACACACATTTTGTGTTTCAAGTACTGCTTGCACTGGTTAGTAGCACATCGATAGTATTTATAATTTGAGCAGCAAATTCCAAAGAAGTTTGTATATGAAATAAGAATTCAGGTGTGGCTTTAGCACACATAAAACTTTAGAATTTTAGTAGATCATCTTATAGCAATTGTGCTGGGTTTTAAGACATGTCTAAAAATATATAAAAAATACGATAATGCTGTAGTTTCTCAGTGCATTATTAGCGGTAGCCCCTTTATTCCATGTAAAAGATGGGTATACGCTCTGAAGACCATGTCTGTGTGCTTCCTAGTTGAGCTGCCACAGTACTGCAATGAAATACATTACCATTAGTATAGATTTATACATTTACAGAAGTGGGCTATAACTTAGTCTTACTTTCAGGTGTGGATGAGAACTGGAGTGAAGAAATGTATCCCGAACCAACCTCTCCTCCAACAACTCGACCTGCTCCTACCAAACCTCCGGTTACTAAGAAACCAATTCATCCACCTAAGACAACAGATAAGCCAGACACATGTGACACTAATTATGATGCTATATCTGTGATAAGAAGAGAAATATATATTTTTAAGGGAAAGGTTGGTACTGCATAGCTAAATTTTGCCAATGTTTTATGAAAAACAAATGTAATTATGAAGAATAAATGTCAGTTAATAACTAACATAAATTGGAGATAAAAATTTAGACTATGTTTAGGTTTGTCTTGGACCACTGGTCTCAGCATTTATCTCTAATTTGTGTTTGTCTTGGACCACTAGTCTGAATGTTTATCTCTAATTTGTGGGTCAGCTATAAAAGCAATTATTATTGCTGTTGTAAATGTTTGTGAATGTTCAGATTATGTATGCTATAGTACCATAAAAGGAATGTTGTGTGATAAGTTAAAACAGTGTTAGAGTGTACCAACAGTATGTAAATAAGATACTCTGTGCAGGTTATGGCATTTTATTAATGAAGATGTTATGTCTACCAGGGGGCTTATTAATTTATATAGAGAATAACACAAAATGGATATACAGTCCTGTATGTATATGCATTGATTGGGTAGAGGTCCTTAGATAGAAAAAATGTTGCCTGTGTGTAGCATGCATAGTAGGTGAAGTTAGGTGATCACACTTAAATTTGGGGAAAAAAGCCTTACTAAGACCCTGAATATCAGGGTCACCTATACTGTATTTATTCAAAGACCATAAAAGCCCCACTGTGGTCAAGTAAAGTAAAACCAATGAACACAACTACCAGTGTTTATACAATACCATAGGTTATGACACCGTTTATGTAGGAAAAAGTTCCAGGGACCTAGAGTATATAACATGGAGCGTATAAGCATGCCAGAAGGACAACAGTGCTAGTAACACATGAACTCTACACCACAACACTGAAAACCACATTATGAATTAACCAGAGGTAAGATTTATCATCAGAGAAAGCAACCAAGGCAGCAGATTGTTCAGAATCAGCAACAATAGCCACTACTACTGTTTCTCAAAACTCGGGATCATTCACAATTTCTGAAGCCTAGGTGAAGTTTATTCTACCTAAACCTGACACTGATCACCTAACTTCACCTACTCTGCCAACTATTCACATACAACAACATTTCCTTGATTTAGGATCTCTCTTATTCGTGTGAATTGCTAAAATCCCTGGGAACAACACTTCTTCATTAATAAGATGCCTTATCCTGCACATTGTCTTATTTATGCTATCAAATAAGTAAATCATGTATGTTTACAACTCCATACTATTTAAAAGTTTCACTGTCATTGCAGTACTTCTGGCGGTTAGATTCTGCAGGAAATCTGAGGCCAAATTATCCTGCAGAAATTTCACGATTCTGGGCAATGCTTCCTAAAAACATCACTCATATTGATGCTGTATATGAAAGAACCCATGATGCTAATATTGTGTTCTTTATTGGTAAGATAGCATTATGTTACTTCCTCAACCTGTCCTCCTAATAACTATATCATACTTTCACATAGCATTTGCAGCCCAATTCTAAGTTAGACTAGGTTAGGTTAAATTGGAAAAACTATACATACAAGATAAAAGACGATTAAATTGTCTCCCCTGTGAACTGAACACAGGCACCCTGCAGGCAGCTCATATAACTGTCATATTTCAACTGCTCAGCCACACATTTGACATTTTACAATAGTCATGTTGTCTGTAGTTACAAGGTTGAGCTGTACAGTATTGGAAATCACTTCTGAGATTGTATTATATTTTGATGTTTATTAATTATGCAAGTTATTGTTGCTATGTGAAACAGTTCTTAAGAGCTCTAATGGATTTTTAATACAGTGGTACCCCGAGTTTCGTACAGCTCCCAACAATTATGTAAGTGTATTTTTGTAAGTGCTTTTGTAAGTGTATTTTTGGGGGTCTGAAATGGACGAATCTAATTTATGTTATTCCTTATGGGAACAAATTCATTCGGTAACGGCACTCAAACAGCCTTTTGGAACAAATTATGGCTGAAACTTGGGGTACCACTGTATACTATTTGAAATAATAACTACATTGAAATCAAGTCACTCTTCATAACAAAGTAAATTTAATGTTTGGGTTAAGTTGTAAGATTTATATAATGCTCAAGTCATTCAGCATTTTTGACAATAAAAGAGTTGAACAGCATGCAGCCATATGCACTAACTTGCAAGTCAAAACTGGCCATCTATTGCATAGTTAAATTTTGTCTTTTTAAATTCAAATATTAATAGAATACAGTGATATGTAGTAGGTAGAGGTTGTCTCAGTATACTTCGATCATAAAGCAGATACACTTGTAATGAAAATGGGCACTGCTCTGTTGCAGGAGATAAATTCTATGTTTGTCAAGGAAATCACCAGCTGCTGAAGATTGGGAGATTAAAAAATCTGGGGTTACCTGAGGATCTCAAGAAAATAGATGCAGCCTTTGTCTGGGGATACAATGGCCGAACCTATTTGTTTGCAGACACGATGTACTGGAGGTAAGATAAAAATTTCATGATCCATTATTTGCCTTTCTTGTATCTTGTATTAAGAGGAGGTTTATAGTACACAGTATATTAGAAACTGAATAGAACATTATTTATTATAATAATCTTTGTGTCATAAGAGGCGACTGAAATGCTGGGAGCAAGGGGCTAGTAACCCCTTCTCCTGTATACATTACTAAATTTAGAAAAAAAAAAAAAAACTTTCATTTTTCTTTTTAGGTCGCCCTGCCTCGGTGGGATGCGGCTGGTTCATTGAAAAAATCTATATATCTACAAATACAGACCTAGCTGATATCAGCGACACTATACAGAAAGCCCCTTGCTGTGCAGAGCATTTCAGGAAAATTAGGTTAATTTTGTCCCCACAATGCAACCCACACCAGTCAGCTAAGACCCAGGTACCTATTTACTGCTAGGTGAACAGGGACAGCAGGTGTCTTATTTAAGGAAACACACACAGATGTTTCCACCCATACCAGGGATCGAACCACAGACCTCATTGTGTGAGCTGAGTGAGTTACCAGCCAAGCTACAGGACTCCTTTATGACTATATATTCACATACAGTATCTTTTGCTAATTACTGATAAAGGTTTTTCAGCTGATTATAAATGGTGAAATAAAAAGTGCTTTTGCATTAGCTTTTGCTCACACAGAGTACTAAGGACAGAGGATAAATTTCTTAAAAGTGCAGGACTTACAAGCACTTACCAAGTGGAGAAAAGCACCGTTCACAGGCATAACTTTGTCTTACAAGGCTTTGCTTGGTATGAGCTTTATAATGTGGAAGATAGAGGATACTTCATTGTACATACCCCACTGGGATGGGGAAGCGGAATATTGCTGAGAAATGGTATCCTGGGCTCAGTACACAATGGGGCTTTTGAGCTCAAACCCTGAAAGTTACTTGGTCAGTGGATAATTTTGTAACCTTTAAATTTGTAATCTAAAATCTGAAGATTCTTGATATTTACTAACATTTCTCAAGATGACAGTATTAAGAGGTGATTAAATGGGACTCAAAATAAAGAATGTGGCACATCAGATGAAGCCTGTGAAAAGAATCCTCATTTTATTTTTTGTAGACTTAAATTGGCTTGCTAACACCTGTTATCCTACCATAGCTCATTTCAAAGCCCAGCTTTAAATTATACTACCATCCTTTAGGTTACAGAGTACAACAGTCAGCTAACACCCAAGTGCCTATTTACTGTGCGGTGAATAGGGGCAACAGGTTTAGAGAAGCTTTCCTATATGTCTCAACTTGCCCAGGATTAAATCTGGCTTCTTCAGTCAGAAGTCAAGGCACTATCGCTGATTTAAGAGCCTCTCTGGTGATGGTATAAACTAATTGACAGGTGATCATATTTGTTCCGTATTTCTATTCATGAAGGTCATTCAAATACATACTGTACTGAATACATTAAGGAATTTTACAACTTAAGTCATACACTTGTAAATTCAGCAGACTGGAGAAGTGTGATTTTAGCCCATGATATATGACAAGACCTACATGTTAATTTTTTATTAATATTTTATGCTCTTTCAACAGATTTGATGAAACTGTGCAGCATGTTGAGTTAGACTATCCCCGAGCCATGGACATGTGGAGAGGTGTTCCTTATGGCATTGATGCTGCTTTCAAGTTTAATGGTGGGTATATTAAGAAAACACACATACACATGCAAATAGCATGCAAGAAATTTTTTGGATATTTAGCACATACTGTGTAGGGATCTTGGTAAAATAAAAATCAAGAAATTTTAATGAAAATAAGAAAAAAATTTGGAGCGAGTTAAACAAGTTAAGAAAGCCTATGGAACGAATGGATATGTCAGTTAAAAACAGAGTAGGGAAGTTAGTAGATGGGGAGACGGAGGTATTGGGTAGATGACGAGAATATTTTGAGGAGCTTTTAAATGTCGACGAAGAAAGGGAGGCGGTAATTTCATGCACTTGCCAGGGAGGTATACCATCTTGTAGGAGCGAAGAAGAGCAGGATGTGAGTGTGGGGGAAGTGCGTGAGGCATTATGTAGAATGAAAGGGAGTAAAGCAGCTGGAACTGACAGGATCATGACAGAAATGTTAAAAGCAGGGGGGGATATAGTGTTGGAGTGGTTGGTATTTTTGCTTAATAAATGTTTGAAAGAGGGGAAGGTACCTTGGGATTCGCAGAGAGCATGTATAGTCCCTTTATATAAAGGGAAGGGGACAAAAGAGATTGTAAAAATTATAGAGGAATAAGTTTACTGAGTATACCAGGAAAAGTGTATGGTAGGGTTATTATTGAAAGAATTAGAGGTAAGACAGAATGTAGGATTGCGGATGAGCAAGGAGGTTTTAGAGTGGGTAGGCGATGTGTAGATCAAGTGTTTACATTGAAGCATATATGTGAACAGTATTTAGATAAAGGTAGGGAAGTTTTTATTGCACTTATGCATTTATGATAGAGTGGATAGGGGAGCAATGTGGCAGATGTTGCAAGTATATGGAATAGGTGGTAAAGAGTTTTTATGAGGATAGTAAGGTAGAAGAGAGGGAGACTACTTCCCGGTAAAAGTAGGTCTTAGACAGGATGTGTAATGTCACCATGGTTGTTTAAAGAGAGATCTAACAGTAATTGTAGATGAGAGATTAGTATTTGAGGATCACAAATTAGTGAGAAACTTTTATGCTTTGCTGGCAAATTTCAAAATATAAGGCAAAATTGTCTAACTATAACTGAATTGACCAAACTGGCATCTGCAGCAGTAGTGTGGTGTCTGCACAAATAATTATTATTATCTAGAACTAGTGATAAACTCGTATGGGTCATACAATTAGCCACACTTAAAATGACAGATCCTCCTCACACCTGCTTATGTACTTTCCAACCTATATAAAGCTACCCCAGAGTACTGTATTGTAGTTGATTCAGTGACACTGCTTAGCAGTTTGTTACACTTATCTGCAACTATTTTCAGTGCAATGCCGCCTTATATAATTTCAAAATTAAATTTATCCACTTCTAATCCATTGTAGCAAATCCTGTCTTTTTTTAATTTTCAGCACTTTGTCCTTATTTTTCCATTCATACACTTCATGTTGTCCTTACTAATATGTACACCTTTCTAGAGGATGTATATTTCTTCCAACTTTTTTTCTTTTTGTTGGGAAATTTTCTGATATAGATGTTTAACTTTGTAATCATTCTCTGTATCTATTTTCCCTATCCTGTAGATAAGACAAAAAAAAATCTAAAGATATGCTACAAAATGGTTCTTATAGTTAAGAAATACCAGGTCAAAAGTGTTCAAAAATCTCATCAGATTAGTCTACTTGCTGATAAGTAAGACACATATGCAACAGTTGTGTATCTTTGTTCGAAACATTTCACCCACACAGTAGGCTTCTTCAGTCGAGTACGGAAGAGTTTAGCAGAAGCTTCTGCTAAACTCTTCTGTACTCAACTGAAGAAGCCTACTGTGTAGGCGAAACGTTTCAAATAAAGATACCCAACTGTTGTATATGTGTCTTACTTATCAACTTGTTGATATTTTATGCCATTTTCATATTAACCTGCTGATAGTTCTAATCATTGTCCCCAAAGCCCAGTTTCTGCCCATTTTTTCCTGGTTGATAGACATTCAGTCAGGTTGTTGGTGTCTGTGGTACTGTCAGCTTTATACACCACAACCCATTTGATCTTGAAGTGTGTAGAAACTTACTAAATTGCCTCAGAAAGACAGGGCCTGTTGGTAATTCTGCTTATACTGTAATTGAAAAGTGTTTGAAAACTCTTTGACTTGTTATGCTTACTGAGTTATCCTTCAATATGCTTTTTCATAAGGTATATTTACAATTGGTTTGTAAGACCTAGGTAATTACATACATTCATGTTTTGAACTCCTTCACAAATATTTCTTCTTCACATTACTATTTAATTGGTACCAAATAAATATTTACATCTTCCACAAGTGATATTTAAATGTTATATTTATTCCAGGTACAACATACTTCTTCCAAGGCAAAGTGTTTTGGGAATTTGATGACTTTCGAATGAAAGTGAAGCCCAAGTCTCCTGCCTTATCTGCACCATTCTGGCTTGGTTGCCCAAATGTTGAAAATCCCTACTATATGGAGGCCTCAGTCAGTGACAAAGTTTCAGGAGCTGCAGCTTCCCAGCACAGAGTAACAGCCCATGTTGCATCAGCATTACTCTTTTGTGCTCTCTCTTCTTTAAGCACTGCTCATTTATGAAGTACTCAATAGCTATAAAAGTTTATCAGAATTTACAAGCCCCATAGATTTCTCTACCAAGTCATTATTTTTTTTTTTTTGCCACTTCAGTTTCTGACATCTTGAGTTATTACAGTACTATTCATGAGCCTACTGGCCATCTCCCACCAAGGTAAGGTGACCAAAAAAATGGGAAGTTCATTCACATCATTCATTCAATAGCTGTCTAACTAGAAGTGTGCAGACATCATAATTCAAGTAACCCTCCTAACTGCAGCATCCCTATTCATCCATCAGAATGCAGACATTAAGCCATATTTTTTATATTCATCAGAGAATCACTAAAGCTGAATAGGAGGCATTCAGATTCGATCCAAGGAAGGGGATTGTTTTGTTGTTGGGGAGTGCTAAAACTGTAGTCATTCAGCACCCTAGGAAATGGGAGGAAATCATGCTCAATTAGAAGAGAAGGGCAGGTCCAGTTCATTGATCAGAACTTGCTCACCGATGTCATGGAAGCTTCATTTGGGGTGGAAGATGAGGATAAATCCAGGTCCTGGGAACTCACACCTCACTGGCATTAAAGCATCTCTCAAGGGGACTGAAGCTATATTATTTTGTTATTTTCTCCATATTTCATTTTTCCCTTAAATTTATGATACAGTAATTAGTAATAGAATGTACTTCATAATTATAATATATTATCAACTCTTCCAGTCCCCTCCACTCATGAGAAACTCATTAATTCAACATGGAGGTAAAAGCGTATACGGTAATTACATTATTTAATTAACAAATATTAATTTTAAGAAAATTCAATGATACTTTACAACATCTAATGTATACTCTTCAAAATTCCTAAGCTTATGATCTTAATGATCATTGTCACTCTTGAATATAAACTTTAGCCTTTCTTCATTGTTGTTGCATTTATGGCTTGGTGTGCAAGAGCTTGACTGTTTTGAGCAAATTAAAGGCTTTAAATAATTTGAAGTGGCTTGAAATTGAGAATTTTAAGAATTTCAGCATTCGAAGCATATATTCATGGGAAGTGCTAAAGTGTAGGAGTTATGCAGTGCCTGGGAGATGGGAGGTTATCAGGTTTGATCAAAGGAAGGGTAGCTCTAGTGCCTTGGATCTGGAGCCCTTCAGTTATTAAAGGTAATTCAAGCAAATGCTTATGCTGTACTCTGTTTTTACTCGTTAAAATTTATATAATGTAAGAGGGTAAAGGACATTTTTAGATTGTTTTATATAATTGTGCATTGAGAGATATATTGGGATAAATGAATACCTTTTTTGTTGTTTTACTTTGATTTTGCAGTAGAGGAAAATATACAGGATTTTTTTTTAGTGTTCAGAAAGACTGTTTTGGTATTGAGGAATTACACACGTGCAACACCTGGGTATCGTTATTTGAAGATGTTTCACCAGCCAGTGAATTTTTTCAGTTCTCTACATAGATGGTACATGAAGACAGTTGAAAATAAGGCAGTCCCCCCCAGCCTTGAGGAAGATAAGGTAATCAGTGCTACATCCTGGAAGTTTGTGTTAAATACCTTAGTCTTAGTGAATTCAGACATTAGCTTAGAGATGAATTACTTTGTCTTCTGTCTTCATATATCATCTTTATGTTGAATTGAAAAAGCCACTGGTTAATGAAATGTCTTCAGATATTGATACTCAGATGCTGCATGTGTTTAAATCCTCATCCTGTAGGTATTATATACTATTATTTAAATATTTTGGTACTGGATACAATCTCCATTTATTTTTTATTAGGGTTCTTTGCTATGGAGGCCCATTATTTACTAATGTCGTCTTGTCATCATCACCCAGTTATTATTACAGTCACTGTCATTAGTCATTGTCTTCACTTTCCTAGGGTGAAGAGACATTTGGCCAGGAAAAGACAGAACAGAAAGATAGGATAAGAGATTAAAAATATTTAGTGACACCCGTCCTTTCACACTAATTGCCACACTCGGTAGCATCGTATATGTGGTGTTAGTGTGGCAGAGTTCTGTATATGCTAAGTAGAGAAAGAATCTTCATTAGGAAGTCTTGTGAGTTTTAAAACGCTAATTTCAAGTAAAAACTCAAAGAAATTAGTTTGTGATATTGTGATATTATGTTTTATGAAAACTCTTGTATTATAAAATATGTTTAACTAGTAATCGAGTTGAAGCAGTTCCATAAGCGGCACTTACCCAAGTATTAACATTTACGTTAGAAGCTAACGAAATAAATATTGGTTTATTTATGCCAGTCTACTCCTTGCCTATGCATTCGCTATTTTTGTCATAGTGAATACAGTATACCTATTTATGTTACTACTATTTTGTAAATATTGTGTTATGATGGGTAGAGTACTATTTTTAAGCACATTTTTTATAGTTGGACATGGTAATTACATTATTTATAGAACACATGAGACCACAGAAATTAAAATATCATTTTTGTACACAATATCTCACTAAGTTTAATTGCCATGTACACTAGAATATTTTTTTTAGTTTTATATACACGTACTTTGATAATTTCACTGAAATGTTTAGTGTTCATTCACTGCCTTTTCCTCACTCTAAGTTTGTGTTAAATGTGTGTATAACTGCAAATATGAAAGCCTTTCATTTTATGAGAGGCTTGCAAGTAGTATTTATGGAATGTATTTAAAAGTGAAAAATAAAACGAGTCAAATGCATAGCACTGTGTGTGAACACTGAAGTTGTAGAAATTTGCTTGGCATAATGCAATGTGTATCAAACTTTATACTGTATGTTTCTCTCTCTTATGCCAGTGTATATTACCTGCATATCTCTAGGAAGTTTTGTGTATTTTTACTTAGCATTGTTGCCAACAGGGGGTCCCCAACCTATTTTCAATGGGAAAATAGGTTCTAAAGTTACAAATTCATATTTGTTGAAAAAGAACAATGATCCTCATGCATAGGTTGGTGACCTTCTGTACATGTTATTGGGTACTAATGAAGATTCTTATCCTTACCTAGACAGAAAATGAAACAAGAGAAATGTATATTTTGACCTCAGACCTTCTTCAGCAGGTCTGAGGACAAAATTCCGTTTGCAGTTTGTTTGTTTTTTTTGACCCGTTTCATTTTTTTGCCTAGGTAGTTTCTTTCATCAATGAATGTTCATAACACATTAATCCAAACACTGGACTGTATCATCTTCACCTGTAAACTTCACACTTTTTTTTCATCTTTATTGTACCCGAAAGTTCTCATTGTATGGAGGCTGTTCATGATTACCGTATCACTGCTGTATTGCTAGTCAGGTTTGCATTGTTTTCACCTTAGTCTTTTTGTTATTTATTGTTAAGTAGATGCTCAGTGATTTTCTCCTTAATCGAGAAATCATTAGTGACTGTGGGACCAAGGTCAGCGTCAATTGCCAAGGAACTGTATATTATTTTGTAAATTTACTTTTTTCTTATTTTAACGAAGAATGAAAAGGCACAATACTCAAATAACCTGCGCACAGGAGGTTAAAATTTATGACGACTTTTCAGTCCAACTTGGACCATCAACTAAAGACTACTTATGGTCCAAGTCAAACTGAACTCTCATCATAACTTTGTCTCTTGTGCGGGTTATTGCATCAGTTCAGTATAATGTTATTGCATTTGAAGAGAGAATAGAGGTAACAGTAATTTTGGTATGTTTTACATTAGATGTAAACATTAATATATTGATAAAAAGTGTGGTGCACAATCAAAAAGAGTTAAGATCATGTAGACAATGACATAAGTCCTTGTGTTTACACAGTACATATAGACATTAACTATTCAATAACTTTTTTTTTTTTTTGTAAGATGAGTGAAGTTTGGAATATTACAGAAAACCATTGTAATTTTCTAAAGCAAATATAATAATTACAGTACTATATTGAAAATTATAGTCAATTTGTGATTGTGTAGATTATATGGGGTTAAAATACACAAGTATATTTTATATGGAATGTAGTACTGTAGTTACAAAATGTGACTGTTCAGTAGGCAAGGTACACAAATGAAATTTTTTTTCAAAGTTATAACTACTATCATATAGAGGTGTGCACATAACCAAAACACTAAACTATATTCAAAAAGAAATACAGATTTCACTTGCTCCATTCATCTTCATTATATTTATGGATTAAACCTGGTTACCTCCTATTTCCCCAGGTGCTGTATGATTACAATCATGTTAAACCCTTAAGGGTCATACAGTGCTGTATGAACCCTGCAGGTTTAGTGCTTACCCCATGAATGTAATATGTACATTTATGGGAAGGGGAGGTTCTAAACCCATAGAGATCATAATATGCCTGGGGAAAAAAAAAAGGCAGTTGAGATTTGACCCAAGGAAGTCAATCCCTGGATATTTCGCTGGCATCACCTTTATAGTACAGTGAATCAGAAATCCTTGGCCTCAGCAATTGCCTCGTGTGGGGCCCTGTTGTTTGCAAGAGTGCCTTAGCTATTTTTCATTCATTTTCCTCTGAGTACTCAGTAATGCTTCATTAGAAGAGTAATTCTACATCGCTTCTGCTCTCTTGATATGCTTGCTTGCTTTGCTCTCCTCTCCAACAGCCATATTGTTGGCATAGGCACTTTCTTGAATGGTGCTGACTTACATCAACTATGGCACCCCCTCTGCTTCTGCACACACTTCTGAAATAAGCATCTTATTATTCATTATTGAAAGGGGTGAATTGTACTTGACAACAGTAAAGGTGCAGAAAGTGTCGACTTATTTTATTCATAGGGAAACACTAAACCCACAGGGCATACAGCAATTGGAGAATGAAAGGTAGTTAGATTTAATCCAAGGAAGAGGAGGGCAACTTTCAATTTCTTGAGTCTATAATCACCTGGAGCTGAAAACTATTTATATAAAACACTGCTGGTGAGGGGCTCTTGATCTAAAGAATTAGACCTGTACTTTAATTCTTTGAGTTTAAATGCTTTTCATTTCCCCCAGGCACTGTATGACCCCTACTGGTTTAGTGCTCCCCACAAATATAACAATAATATATAAAGGAAAAATAAACAAACAGTATAATGTGATCCTTTGACAACATTTCACCCACACAGTGGGCTTTATCAAGTCACATTGTCAATAAAGAATCACATTATATTGCTTCTGTGTTTATTTTTCCATTTTCGGTATTTTATACCATTTATTTCCAATAATATATAAAACATTTTGTTGTTAACTATTAATGCTGCCGTTTTAATTTATAATAAAATTTTAAGCATTTTCCACTGACATGCCAGAAACTGCTGGATACAGTATTTTAACTTATAACACGAGTGCACTATTGTTTTTTGCACTACCCTAAATCTGCTCTTGTATACATATTATAAAAAACATGCAGTTAGAAATTACTGAAGTTGGAGAGAAGAAAAATACAGTCATTCCCCATCCTACATCATTAATTGGTTTCAGGAGCCATGACGTAAACCAGGCGTAATGCCTTAAAATGACAAACGCCATTAAACTAGCGTAAACAACTCACGAAAGAATATAACTATTGTCAAACCTTAAAGAACACTAAAAAAAACAGTCCTATTTTTTAAGGAATAATGATGTAGGTGACGTAAAGTCAGACGTAATGACATTCGCTGAACTGAAATTTACTCTAGAAAAGTGCCGTATAGGTGAATCTGATGTAGGTGTGACTATACATTCGTACGTGTAGGGCAAGTCTCGGGAGATGGCAAGAGTCTGTCCGGCTCTCACAAGAGTGAAATATACAGCCTCTCCTCACTTAACAACGCAGTTCCATTCCTAAGACCGTCATTAAACGAATTCATCGCTAAGTGAGAAGCATACTGTAATGGTAGTGGGTTTGTGTCAACCATCTTTGATATTGTTTTAATGTCGCCTTCGCATCATTTATAACATTTCTGGTATATTTTTAAATGTTTATACAATAGTGTACTGTATATCGAAATTAACAGAATAGAGGAAATCAGCTCTAATATACATTATTTAAATACTGGTCAGAGAGCCCGTTGTAAGTCTGAGGCGTCAGTAAACGAGTACGTTGCTAAGTGAGGCGAGACTGTATATCGAGACTTGAAAATAAGAAGTTTAAGATAATCATTAGTTAAATACTGTATATAAAAAGTATAAAGGATGAGAGCTAAAAATACAGTATACTACATCAAGATGCTTTGGCTGTGCAAAGATAATGACACATAGTAGGATGCAAAAGTTAATTACAGTTAAAACTTTTGAAGAATGAATTAAAAAAAATCTCATATATGTCAGGAAATAGTACATATAGTACTGTATATGCAAAACCTTCAAAGCTTTAATAAGTAAAAATCAACATACATTTCATTTTGATAAAAAAAAAAATAATAATAGTTCCAAATAGCACTACTGTACTCCTAAACAAGTTTTAGTGTTGAAACCTCATTAAAGTACTTGCCATAATATATTTTTGTATTAATTAAAGCCTTAATTTGTTTAACATGGAGGAGGTGCTAATTTTTTGGAAAATATTACAAACTAGGGTAAAATTTTACTGATGAAGAACATGTACATTTAGTCAATCACAAATATTTAAATTTTGAGGATCTAAATTTACTGCAAAATTTCTCTGATCATTTATTGTTATATAATTATTCTGGGTAGAGGTTTTTTTACTTATTATATCTAATGAGTTAAAAATTTTCATTCAAATTACTGTTATCTCGAAATCAACCGCCACATCATGCATTTTATACTTCATGTTTGTGTGAACTCTACAGTAAGCTACTAGCTTGACATCTGACACTGCTTCTATCCAACACAAATTAAATAAATACACAATTGCAGTACAGAATACCCCTAAAATAGTGACCTGTGATTTTTACCTGTGACAGATTTTAAGGGTCTTTCTACCCCCTGCAGCCTGGCCTGGCCTGGGGCCAAACTTCTCTGTTGATTGCCTGTCAGCTAATTGGTGGTCTGCTGGCCTACATAGCTTAATTAATTTGGCACTTTAGAGATAGTAATCCAATTTTCTCTTAAGACTTTTACACTTGTTCTGGCAATATTTCCAATATCTGCTGATAGGTTGAAGAGTCTTGGGTCATGAATGTTGACAGTATTTCCATATTGTGCCTATGGCATCCCTGCTTTACACTGGGTTTATCCTGCATCTCTTGCTATTCAGTTATGGCAGTGTGTAAATTTGGGACCAGGTCCTTATGTATCTTCCAGTTGATCTCCTTAAATTTTATACAAGTAAATGCATCTTAAACCTTGTATATAATTGTATATATCCTTTTTTATAAACTGTATTTGTAATCCTTCTATTATACTACTTTTCAGACATTAGAGTAGCTTTCATAAAAGGGCTTGACAATGAACTTTGGTTAAATGTTCCATTGGCACATAAATAATGAAGCTGAGCTCATATGAATATAGTGGTGCAAAAAATTAGGCATGAGCTAAACATAATACATTAGTAACTTTACATCTTCTTTTACAAGACTTATTTTTTTAAGATATCAAAACTATGGGATCTAGTAATGGCACAGAGCATAGTTACACTCCGACATGTGCATTTCAGGGCCATTATTATTACAGTGTTAAAATTGCTGTAGAGAAATAAAAATTGCCTAAAAAAAAAAAAAAGTTTCAAACAAACAGTACTTTCTACTCACCTCTTATAGAATGTTCTCTCTCAATTGAGCATTAGCTCTATTGTAACACGTTCACTCATTGTCATCATATGGACGGGCATCCTGCTCTAATGCGCAAGGCTAGCCAAGTTTGTGGTAGCCATCTAACCCTGCTGTTTATTCTCTCAGCCTTCTTCTCTGAAAGTATTATACTGTCTTACTTCTCCATTAGCAGCTCTGTTACATATTCTTTAATAAATATTTTCTAATTCTATCTTGTCTAGCCCTTACTGTACTCAATCTGCTGCACTTTTCTTTCAATACTGTCAATTGTGCAGTGTCAAATGACTCAAGTTTAGTTTTATTTATGATTGTTACTGACAATGTTGTGACAAAAATGGGCTTCAGTATGTTAATTGCGGGTATCAAGTTATAAATTGTGTTATGTGGGGAAACACATTTCAAATAATAAATATGCATTAAGAGTCTACTGTTACACCTTGAAATTCACATGTCATAAATTTCATAATTTGATATCTAAATTTATCCTCCTTTTACAGAGTATTTTTGCCAGGCAATATTTTACACTTTCATTGTCAAAATCACTTTTTTTTTTTTTTGAAGCACTAACAGCCTTTGGCGTGTGGATAAATCCATGTCACCCTTAACATTTAATATTCTTAAAAACATTCACTGAACTGAATTATAAGATGCAGCCAGCACTGTATTTCAGTTGAAACATTATGGCGTCTTTCTGCAGATATCTGTCATTGCTTTGTACCTATAAACCACTAATTGGCAAAGCTGACAAAATTGCATCTATAGCTTAAGATTTGTCTAAAGTAGTGATGAAGATATACTGCTATTTAGTGTTTTTTTTTTTTTAACACTACTGCAAGGGGTTTACTTCCTCTGCAAATTCATTTGTTAATATTGTGTAGTTTACACTTGAAACATATACAGAGTACATATGTGGGTCAATTTAGCTCATGGCAGCATTCATATACTTTGTAAACATTATTCTTATATTTTTTATCTAATATATTATGACATGAAGAATCTTACTATATGTTGTACAATACTGCAAAAGTCAAGTTGCTATTCATATTCTCAGTGTATCTGTATCTTTAAAACTACCAATTTCTAAGTGGTACAACTCATTACATGTTAGTATAGTTATTAGAATGGGACTCAAAGCTTGAAAAAGAATGAATATCACAATCCACTTCAGGGTTGTCCTTCAACTGAAAAATCTCGCCTTTCATGCAATGATCTAATTTACAAATCCAGACACGCATTATGTGCATCTCTAATTTGTATTTTAGTGCCTCAAATTTTAACTTAAAGTAAATAATCTGGTTTACATTTAAGATTATAAACACCTTGTAACAATACGTTAGGTAAAAAGACACAAGTGCAATTAATGCAATATTTTATTGTGGCAACTTTTAGCTTTCCAGGAGCTTTGTCAAGCTGTTACATAACTGCTTGACAAAGCTCCTGGAGAGCAAAACGTTGCCACAGTAAAATGTTGCATTAGTTGCGCTTTTACCTAACATATTGTCAGTAAGTTTATATCAACATTATTACACCTTGTAACAGTTAATTATGCTAATTAAATTTTATTACAGTACAGTATTTAGAACTTTTGGTATAAAGAATCTAAGCTGATGCCAATTGTCTTATGTCTTGCTAAAATGCACTTGTTTATACAGCTTTGGCTTATGAGCTGGGGAGCCGGAATGTTCTCTTCCACTAAAACAGTACAACTTGAAAGGTTTGTTGCCAAATGCAGTATCAATTCCTCAAGTTGACTACAGTTTTTTTGTCTATCTTATTGCACCTCAAATGTTCATACTTGTATTAAAACTCCATTAATTAACTGCTCCTATTTTCTATTGGTTCCCAGTACAATTGACAAATTGTATTAAAACAGGAAAAAGTTATTTATCAACACTACCTTTTAGTAGAAGTTCCTTACTAGTGTACTATTATATTCACAAAAATGTGCTAAATCAATAAGATTTATACAATGCTACATGGCAAAGGGGTTACGACATCAGAAAAATAGGAAGTGCATGAGATTCCTTAATATGTATAATAATAGATGCCAGTACATGACTTGAGATGCACATGCAGGATGAGGTGACAGCATCACCCTTGCTCTCTCGAATTTGTGCCCATAGGTTTAGTACAATTTTGTGAATATGACAATAATCAATCTGAAAGACTGAAGTACAGTAATTTTTTTTTAATCTTGTCAGACTTAGAGGCTAGAGGATCTTAATGGTGATAACCAAGTGATGGTTATTTTAGATGTTTTTTTAAGAACTGTGCATACATAAATATAATAATATAAGTGTGAGTCTGTACAGGGAAGCAAAAGTGCAGTTTGTATATTTTGTGTTTTATTATTTAATTATGCAGTAATTATGTGAGCATTTTTGCTGAGGTTATTCCACGATTGCTTATTTGATGCCTGTGTATATATATTAGGTGTATGTCTAAATAAAAATTCATATCCTAATTTTTGTTTCTCTTAAGAACTATGCATGACAAAAGTAATAGACCTTTCATATTAATCCATGTTTCACTGATATAAATAAGATGATGATAGTGTATAGGAGAAATGTTTCACAGAGACAATAACTCTAGAAAAAGCATATTCTCCCAGCATTCAATTATTCCCTCAGTAACTGTCTTACTGAAAAAGTTTTGTCCCCTTCTCCCATTTTCTTAACCCGTAAACGGTCCAGGCAGATCTATGTTCACATGTGTAATGCTCCAAAAGTAGATCTACGTTTTTTTTACACATTTTCAAATATAACAAAAAAAGTAGATCAAAGTTTTTTTACACATTTTCAAATGTAAAAAAAAAAAAAGATTACCTTTTTTACATACTTTCAAATGTTGAAAAAACGTATATATACGTTTGGACTGTTTACGGGTTAATTTCAATACCTTGGATTTTACTTTCCTGAACATGTCTTCCTCTTAATCTAGCAGCTCATACTTTCTACTAAATAGCTAGTAGAAAATGCATTTTTAACTACACCGTCTTATCTCTAAGAGCTCTTGGTCCAAATTCTCTCACTGTGACCCACTTTTCCATCATCAACCTGAACTTTTTAGTTATGGTCTTACCACTGCCACTTCACCCAGTCCTCATATCAACCTTTTCCTGTGACTCCTTTCACTGGTATCAGTGAGGTGGTGTTCTCATCCTTGCCCTTACTAACCCTTTTTTTCTATGAGTTGCCCCTTCTTTATCACTTTGCCCTGATTTCTCTAATCTGCTACTAATCTTGCTCTCTTTCCTTCTGACAAAAACAACTAAGTGATTGTTCTTAATCATGAGGATTACCTCCAGAAAAGCTCTTACTCTGTGGCACTTACAATTATGCTCCCCATTTTTGACCATCTTTAATCACACCAAGAAAACTTTCAACCTCAAATTTTGTACTTCCTCTAATCGCTGCCCACCTGACTTTGATTTGCAAATGTCTGAATGTGTTACCTGTACCTCTCCGTTTTATTTCTACTATCTTCCTAAAACTCACAAACCCCGTGTTCCATTACACCCTATCATTTCCTCCAGAAGATCTGTTTCACCCTCTTCCTCATGGCTGGTCAAAAAACTCACAATTTTTTTGGGGTTCATTTTCTCCTGCTCACAAATGTCACTCAGGGTGTCATTGAGTGTAATATACGGCTACATCTTATCTGTATGATTGAAAGAGAATTATATGGCCAGTAAACAGTATGATGAGACCTAGACTTCCAAGGAGAGAATGATGTGCCAAGCAGATGCCCTGGTGCTGGTGAAGGGCTGGTCGTAAATGGCATGGTGATACTGACAACAGGGATAAAAATGCATATGCAAGCAAACCAAGTCCTAAACGATATAAGCTGGGAAGATAGACTAAGCAACACAGACCCCAACTTATGCCTAGAACAGATTAACTCTGTGGGACTCGATGTATGCTCAAGGCTTATTCCTTTAAGAAAAAGGAGGAGATGTAAAATAGAAAGAAACAAGTGCTCCCTTTACAGGCAACGGAAAAGAATAACAGAGCGGCTAAAAGAGGCCAATATATCTGAAATGCGTAGGGAGACACTGGTCAGAGAAATAGCAAACATCGAACTAAAGCTAAAGGAATCTTATAGGAGTCAGGAATCGCGAGAAGAACTAAAAGCCTTAAATGAAATTGAAAGAAACCCAAAGTATTTCTTTTCTTATGCCAAATCAAAGTCGAGAACAACATCCACTACTGGACCCCTACTTAAACAAGATGAGTCCTACACAGATGACAGCAAGGAAATGAGTGAGCTACTCAAGTCCCAATATGACTCAGTTTTTAGCAAGCCGCTAACCAGACTGAGAGTCGAAGATCTAAATGAATTTTTTACGAGAGAGCCACAGAATTTGGTAAACATAAGCCTATTCGATGTTATCCTGAAGCCAAATGACTTCGAACAGGCGATAAATGACATGCCCATGCACTCTGCCCCAGGGCCAGACTCATGGAACTCCATGTTCATCAAGAACTGCAAGAAGCCCCTATCACATGCTTTTACCATCCTATGGAGAGGGATCATGGACATGGGGGTTGTCCCACAGTTACTAAAAATAACAGACATAGCCCCACTCCACAAAGGGGGCAGTAAAGCAATAGCAAAGAACTACAAACCGATAGCACTAACATTCCATATCATAAAAATCTTTGAAAGGGTCCTAAGAAGCAAGATTGCCACCCATCTAGATACCCATCAATTATACAACCCAGGGCAACATGGGTTTAGAGCAGGTCGCTCCTGTCTGTCCCAATTACTGGATCACTGCGACAAGGTCCTTGATGCACTAGAAGACAAAAAGAATGCAGATGTAATATATACAGACTTTACAAAAGCCTTCGACAAGTGTGACCATGACATAATAGTGCACAAAATGTGTGCTAAAGGAAGAACAGGAAAAGTTGGTAGATGGATCTATAATTTCCTCACAAACAGAACACAAAGAGTAGTCGTCAACAGAGTAAAGTCCGAGGCAGCTACGGTGAAAAGCTCTGTTCCACAAGGCACAGTACTCGCACCCATCTTGTTTCTCATCCTCATATCTGACATAGACAAGGATGCCAGCCACAGCACCGTGTCTTCCTTTGCAGATGACACCCGGAATCTGCATGACAGTGTCTTCCATTGCAGACACTGCAAGGCTCCAGGCGGATATCAACCAAATCTTTCAATGGGCTGCAGAAAACAATATGAAGTTCAACGATGAGAAATTTCAATTACTCCGATATGGTAAACACGAGGAAATTAAATCTTCATCAGAGTACAAAACAAATTCCAGCAACAAATTAGAGCGAAAAACAAACGTCAAAGACCTGGGAGTAATCATGCTGGAGGATCTCACCTTCAAGGATCATAACATTGTATGAATCGCATCTGCTAGAAAAATTACAGGACGGATAATGAGAACCTTCAAAACTAGGGATGCCAAGCCCATGATGACACTCTTCATGTCGCTTGTTCTATCTAGGCTGGAATATTGCTGCACACTAACAGCACCTTTCAAGGCAGGTGAAATTGCTGACCTAGAAAATGTACAGAGAACCTTCACAGCACACATAACGGAGATAAAACACCTCAATTACTGGGAGCGCTTGAGGTTCCTGAACCTGTATTCCCTGGAACGCAGGTGGGAGATACATGATTATATACACATGGAAAATCCTAGAGGGACTAGTACCGAACTTGCACACGAAAATCACTCACTACGAAAGCAAAAGACTCGGCAGACGATGCAACATCCCCCAATGAAAAGTAAAGGGTGTCACTAGCACGGTAAGAGACAACACAATAAGTGTCAGGGGCCCGAGACTGTTCAACTGCCTCCCAGCATACATGAGGGGGATTACCAATAGACCCCTGGCTGTCTTCAAGCAGGCACTGGACAAGCACCTAAAGTCGGTACCTGACCAGCCGGGCTGTGGTTCATACGTTGGATTGTGTGCAGCCAGCAGTAACAGCCTGGTTGATCAGGCTCTGATCCACAATGAGGCCTGGTCACAGACTGGGCCACGGGGGCGTTGACCCCCGGAACTCTCTCCAGGTATCATTCAGGACACTTATTAAAGGAAACATTTTGCCACAAATTGCTTTATATTTCCTTTAATAAATGCCATGAACTGTACCTAAGTGTCTCTCCTGCTACTCTCTCTAGCTTTAACTCTATCCATCACCAAGGATTACGTTTGTGCCTTGGTGCTTTTCGCTCTTCCCCTGTTGAGAGCCTCTATACAGAAGCGAATGTTCCATCCTTGTCTGATCGCCGTGATGCCCATTGCCTTCGCTACTATGTACGCTCTCACGATCTACACAATCCTTCCATTTATAGAATGGTCACCGATATTAGTAGACATTCTTTATTCATTCGCCGCCCCTGTTTGCTCCGTCCCTTTTCTCTTCGCCTACATTCACTCTTGTCTTCCCTTCAGTTACCACCTTTATATGTTCATGTAGCATCTCACTTTTCCCTACCCCCCTGGGAAGTTCCAGCTGTTCGGGTCTGTTCTTTCTCACTCCCTTGCTCGAAAGCTCAACTGCCTACGGTGGCTTCCCGCTCTCTTTTTCTTGATCACTTTCCACTCCCATTCTCATGCCACCACTGTGTACACAGATGGCTCTAAGTCTTCAGACGGCGTCGGATTCGCAGCAGTGTTTCCGGACAGCGTCGTGCGGGGACATTTACTATTTTCAGCTAGCATTTTTACTGCTGAACTGTATGCCATTCTTGCAGCACTTATTCGTATCGCATCTATGCCTGTGTCATCATTTGTAGTAGTCTCAGACTCCCTTAGTGCTCTACAGGCTATACGAAAATTTGATACATCTCATCCCCTAGTTCTCCGTATCCAACTTTGGCTACGCCGTATCTCTACCAAACATAAAGATATTGTTTTTTGTTGGGTCCCTGGTCATGTCGACGTACAGGGCAATGAACAGGCAGACACTGCTGCGCGGTCAGCAGTACATGACCTACCAATTTCCTATCGAGGTGTTCCATTTCTGGACTATTTTGCTGCAACAGCTACCCACCTTCGCACCCGTTGGCAACAACGTTGGTCAACTCTGCTCGGTAACAAACTTCATTCTATTAAACCGAGCATAGGTTACTGGCCATCTTCTTGTCATCAGTGCCGAGGTTGGGAGACCACTCTCTCCCGCCTTCGCATTGGTCACACTTGTCTTACTCATGGGTATCTCATGGAGAGGCACCCTGTTCCTCTCTGTGAGCAGTGTCAAGTTCCAGTATCGATTAGCCACATTCTGTTAGACTGCCCTCTCAATCAACGAGCATGCAGAATTTACCTCCAACGTCGTCTTCGTTCTACTACTCTCTCTTCACCTTCCCTTCTTGCTGATGGACCCTCTTTTAATCCTGACTCTCTCATTGACTTCTTGACAACGACTGATTTACTCCACAAACTCTGATGATACTTTTCGCACTCCCCTCAGCCCTTTCTAGTTCAGTCTCTTGCTGCCCTTTACCCTTTCACCATCCACTGCCCCGCTGTTATCCATAACCTATTACTCATCCATCTCCCTTTTGCCACCTGATGCCCTCGCTTCCTTCCTGCCCTGCAGCGCTGTATAGTCCTTGTGGCTTAGCGCTTATTTTTGATTATAATAATAATAATGTACCTAAGTGTCTTTACCTACATGGTGAAAGGCTCTTGATTAGCTATTTGAGATATTCTCTTCTTCCTTGGATCAGACTACCATTCATTCCCCAAGTGCTGTATAATCCCTATGGGTTTAGCACTTGTGCATGACTATAATAATAATAAAAATAATAATTTGTTTTTATTAACATATCAGCCATTTCCCACTGAGGCAAAATGACCCAAAAAAGAAGAATCACTTTCACCATCACTCACCCCATTACTTGTCTTGCCAGAGGTGTGCCAACACTACAGTTCAAAAACTGCAAAATTATCTCCACCCCCAGGATTCAAGTCCAACTAACCAGTTTTCCTGAATCCATTCATAAATGCTACTTTGCTCACACTCCAACAGCATGTCAAGTCATAAAAACCATTTGCCTCCACTTGCTCAAAGAGAGAGTTTGTGTCAAAGAGGGGACTTTCAGTGAAGTCTCAGTAAGAGGTTTTATTAGAATGAGGCCTAATAGAAAAAAAGAAGGGGAAGGGGGCACTTCCCATATCCACACTAAATCTAGCCAAACAGAGCTGATTCCTGAATATTTTATACTCAATGAATAATATTTTTAATGAAATTTAAAATACTACATATTGTCCATCAGTTAAATCAAAATTATTTTTAGATATCCTGAAGGGAGAAGTTTAAGTGGTTGCCTGATTTTTTCCTTCCTCTAAATTTCATTTTTATTTTGTGCATAAGATGAGAAGGCCTCGTCCAATCAGCATGAAATTTTCAACACTTATGTACGGTAATGAGGGCAAGATTCTTAGAACTATTGGTATACAGATGCCTTATGACTAATGTTGTAGAACCTATTCCAAAATTTCTGGAATGACTCTGATAACTTTAAGAACTACTTGCTGCTTTGGTTCCAAACATTCAGAAAGTTGCCTCCTAATTCAACAATGGCGAAGAGTGAAATTTAGGTGTGTAGGTGTACGTTTCCCAACTTACATGTAAAATGTTAAATTTTTATCCCCATTAAGTCATGAAAAATACACACAAGTCTTGCTCTTCTGAATGGCTTCAATATTATTTAGTAATGATGTATCTCTTACCATCTTCACCACCAGGCTTACAAAAAGGAAGGAGTTGGAACTAGCACTTATTGTAATAAATTCCATTAGAGGCACTATCTGTAACCCAACTGAACTCCTTCCTATAGCCCAGGAGCTTTAACAGTAGATCTATTCCTGCATCTCTCTAGGCCATATACTCTATGAACACAGATTAAGTCATAATAAACAACTGTCAATGAATAAACAAAGATAAACATGGGGGCACAAACTGAGGCCTGTAAAGTGACAGTTTGATGCTTTATTATCAATTTACAGGCAGTGGTTTGTGCCCCCATGTCCATCTTTCTGTTTATTCATTGATAGTTGTTTATTACAACTTTATCTGTTTTCACATATAGTTCTCTGAAGATTATATCAGCAGACATGGCTATGAATTAGGTACAATGATTATTCTACATAACTATAATTCTTGGTATAACAACCATGTCTGAATGAATAGAAATAATAATAATAATATCTTTATTTACTACAAGTATATGTACAAGGTGTACAGGCCTAGTACCTCGAGTTTCAAACAGCTCCCAACTTGAACAATTATGCAAGTGTATTTTTGTATGTTCTTTTGTAAGTGTATTTTTGGGGGTCTGAAATGAGATAATGAATAATGAGAACCTTCAAAACTAGGGATGCCAAGCCCATGATGACACTCTTCAGGTCACTTGTTTTATCTAGGCTGGAATATTGCTGAACACTAACAGCACCTTTCAAGGCAGGTGAAATTGCTGACCTAGATAATGTACAGAGAACCTTCACGGCACGCATAACGGAGATAAAACACCTCAATTACTGGGAGCGCTTGAGGTTCCTAAACCTGTATTCCCTGGAACGCAAGCGGGAGAGATACATGATTATATACACCTGGAAAATCCTAGAGGGACTAGTACCGAACTTGCACACGAAAATCACTCACTATGAAAGCAAAAGACTTGGCAGACGATGCAACATCCCCCCAATGAAAAGCAGGGGTGTCACTAGCACGTTAAGAGACCATACAATAAGTGTCAGGGGCCCGAGACTGTTCAACTGCCTCCCAGCATACATAAGGGGGATTACCAACAGACCCTTGGCAGTCTTCAAGCTGGCACTGGACAAGTACCTAAAGTCAGTTCCTGACCAGCCGGGCTGTGGCTCATACGTTGGTTTGTGTGCAGCCAGCAGTAACAGCCTAGTTGATCAGGCTCTGATCCACCAGGAGGCCTGGTCACAGACCAGGCCACGGGAGCGTTGACCCCCGGAACTCTCTCCAGGTAATTTACATTATTCCTTACGGGAACAAATTTGTTCGGTATCGGCACTCGAACAGCCTTCTGGAATGAATCAAGTTACCACTGTACTACTACACAAAGCCACTTGTTATGCAGAGCATTTTGGGCAAATTAGGTCAGAGTCCCAGGATGCAACTCACACCAGTCGACTAACACCCAGGTACCCATTTTACTGATGGGAAACATAGACAACCAGTGTAAGGAAACATGTCCAATGTCTCCACTCCTTTGTCGGGAATTGAACCTGGACCCTCGCTGTGTGAAGTGAGAACTTTAGCCACCAGGCCACAGTATAAGATATAAGACTAAAAAAAAAGAAAACCAAATCAAATGTGAATGCCTCTCATTCCCCAGCTGCTATTTGACCCCTAGTAAAAAAGTATGTTTATTTGGGTACAGGTACACATAAGTACGATAATCATATAGTAAATTACCTAGGATAACTCAAAAAGGTAAAGTGTAAAGCACCCTTCTGGCAAGACAGTGATGGAGTGAATGATGGTGAAAGTTTTTCTTTTTCGGGCCACCCTGCCTTGGTGGGAATCAGCCAGTGTGTTAATAAAAAAAATAAATAACTCAAAAAGGTCAAACAAAGTGATTTAATTTCCACTGGGGCCCTTGAATGGCTTGAAGCTGTGTAGCTGCAAATTTTATTGGATTCTCTGCCATAACTGCAAAATGCATATTTTAGTTGTCTTCAAAATTTTCATGCCGATACATTTTCCTCAAAGGAAGCTTCTTGATTTTGGGCTGTGTCAGTTTTAAAGTGTCAGTTTTATCAAACAAACTGATTTCTGTGAAATAACTGAAATAAGTCACAGTGTTTGACTTTATCGGGCTATTCTAAGTTATGGGCACTCATTGTGCCCTCCAAAGAACATTGTAAAAAAAAAAAAAATAATGTTACATACCAAAAGCATAATTAACAATTGCTTGCTTGCTTACTTATTCACTTAATGTACTTACTTGCTTGCTTAATTTTTCAATGCTGGCCAGTCTCAAAGAAGTTTTGATTGATTTTGGCCTGTGTAGGTCCCAATTTTGCTTTGTGAAGGAAATTGGCAAAACTGAAATACAGTGGACCCCCGGTTAACGATTTTAATCCGTGCAAGAGGGCTCATCGTTATGCGAAATAATCGTTATGCGAATGAATTTTCCCCATAAGAAATAATGGAAATAAAATTAATCCGTGCAAGACGCCCAAAAGTATGAAAAAAAATTTTTTTTACCACATGAAATGTTAATTTTAATACACACAAACTGAAAAAGGCATGCACAATTAAATGACACTTACTTTTATTGAAGATCTGGTGATGATTGATGGGATGGGAGGAGGGGAGAGAGTGTGTTAGTGTTTAGAAGGGGAATCCCCTTCCATTAGGACTTGAGGTAGTAAGTCCTTTTCTGGGGTTACTTCCCTTCTTCTTTTAATGCCACTAGGGCCAGCTTCAGAGTCACTGGACTTCTTTCGCACAAGATATCTGTCCATAGTGGCCTGTACCTCTCGTTCCTTTATGACTTGCCTAAAGTGTTTCACAACATTGTCAGTGTAATAATCACCAGCACGGCTTGCAATAGCTGTGTGAGGGTGATTTTCATCCATGAAGGTTTGCACTTCAAGCCACTTTGCACAGATTTCCTTAATCTTTGAAGTAGGCAACTTCTTCAATTTCTCTCTCCCCTCCTCCGAAGCAATTTCCTCAGGTGTGGCCTCTTGCTGTTGAAGTTGATCTAGCAGCTCATCAGTGGTTAGTTCTTCATTGTCCTCCTCCACCAACTCTTCCACATCCTCCCCACTAACCTCCAACCCCAAGGACTTTCCCAATGCCACAATGGATTCCTCAACTGGCACAGGATTCTCAGGGTTAGCCTCAAACCCTTCAAAATCCCTTTTGTCTACACATTCTGGCCACAGTTTCTTCCAAGCAGAGTTCAAGGTCCTCTTTGTCACTTCCTCCCAAGCCTTACCTATAAGGTTTACACAATTGAGGATATTAAAGTGATCTCTCCAAAACTCTCTTAGAGTCAGTTGAGTTTCTGAGGTCATTACAAAGCACCTTTCAAACAGAGCTTTTGTGTACAGTTTCTTGAAGTTGGAAATAACCTGCTGGTCCATGGGCTGCAGGAGAGGAGTGGTATTAGGAGGCAAAAACTTCACCTTAATGAAGCTCATGTCCCCATAAAGTCGCTCTGCCACGTCTGTAGGATGACCAGGGGCATTGTCTAACACCAGGAGGCACTTAAGTTCTAATTTCTTTTCAGTTAGGTAATTTTTCACATTGGGGGCAAATGCATGGTGTAACCAGTTATAGAAAAATTCCCTAGTGACCCATGCCTTACTGTTTGCCCTCCACAGCACACACAAATTATCCTTGAGGACATTCTTTTGCCTGAACGCTCTGGGAGTTTCAGAGTGATACACTAATAAAGGCTTCACTTTGCAATCACCAGTAGCATTGGCACACATCAACAAAGTAAGCCTGTCTTTCATAGGCTTATGTCCTGGGAGTGCCTTTTCCTCCTGAGTAATGTAGGTCCTGCTTGGCATTTTCTTCCAGAACAGGCCTGTTTCATCACAATTAAACACTTGTTCAGGTTTCAGTCCTTCAGTTTCTATGTACTCCTTGAATTCCTGCACATATTTTTCAGCCGCTTTGTGGTCCGAACTGGCAGCCTCACCATGCCTTATCACACTATGGATGCCACTACGCTTCTTAAATCTCTCAAACCAACCTTTGCTGGCCTTAAATTCACTCACATCATCACTAGTTGCAGGCATTTTTTAATTAAATCGTCATGCAACTTCCTAGCCTTTTCACATATGATCGCTTGAGAGACGCTATCTCCTGCTATCTGTTTTTCATTTATCCACACCAATAAGAGTCTCTCAACATCTTCCATCAATTGCGATCTTTGTTTCGAAAACACAGTTGAACCTTTGGCAAGAACAGCTTCCTTGATTGTCTTTCTGGTGCCCACAATAGTAGCGATGGTTGATTGGGGTTTCTTGTACAGCTTGACTAGGTCGGCTATACGCACTCCACTTTCATACTTATCAATTATCTCTTTCTTCATCTCTATAGTAATTCTTACCCTTTGAGGTGTAGGGTTGGCACTAGAAGCTTTCTTGGGGCCCATGGTCACTTATTTTCCAGAAACAGCACCGAAAATACTGTAATAATACGAAATATTCCGAGTGTATGCTTGGATGTTACCGCGGAGGCTGGCTGGTAAACAATGGGACGGAGCGGCACATGTGAGGCTGGCTGAGGGCACATTGGACGCGTCTCGGACGAAAATCGGTATGCGGGTTTTTAATCGGTATGCGGGGCAAAAATTTTGCGATAAAAGTAATCGTTATGCGGAAAAATCGCTATGCGATGCCATCGTTATGCGGGGGTCCACTGTACTACTGATTTTAATGAGAATCTCTGAGAACCTCATCTGATTAGCTTCAATGTTGATTATGCAACTTCCCAGTAGTTGCAACATGAGTTAGGAGTTGAAACAAAAGTTGAAGCACGAATCGAGGTATGAACTGAGATACGAATTAATGGGTATGGAAGTGTGGTAAAGTACATGTAGATCCTCTATTCATAAATTTAGTATACATGAGAGAGCTTTCAAACATGCGAAGTAAAGCCAGTGGTGACAGCATTCAAGTTGAATGTGGCTGCTCCATTCACGGCAGTAAGGATTAAGTATGCATGCATGTAATGACCCCAATGGAAATTAATGACCTTAATGGAAATAATAAGAACCCTAATGTAAATAACAAGGACCCCCAATGGAAATAACAAGGACCCCCAATGGAAATAACAAGGACCTCCAATGGAAATAACAAGGACCTCCAATGGAAATAACAAGGACCCCAATGGAAATAACAAGGACCTCTACTGGAAATAACAAGGACCCCAATGGAAATAACAAGGACCTCTACTGGAAATAACAAGGACCCCAATGGAAATAACAAGGACCTCTACTGGAAATAACAAGGACCCAAATGGAAATAACAAGGACCCAAATGGAAATAACAAGGACCTCTACTGGAAATAACAAGGACCCAAATGGAAATAACAAGGACCCAAATGGAAATAACAAGGACCTCTACTGGAAATAACAAGGACCCCCAATGGAAATAACAAGGACCTCTACTGGAAATAACAAGGACCCAAATGGAAATAACAAGGACCCAAATGGAAATAACAAGGACCTCTACTGGAAATAACAAGGACCCAAATGGAAATAACAAGGACCTCTACTGGAAATAACAAGGACCCCAATGGAAATAACAAGGACCTCTACTGGAAATAACAAGGACCCCAATGGAAATAACAAGGACCTCTACTGGAAATAACAAGGACCCAAATGGAAATAACAAGGACCTCTACTGGAAATAACAAGGACCTCTACTGGAAATAACAAGGACCCCAATGGAAATAACAAGGACCTCTACTGGAAATAACAAGGACCCTAATGGAAATAACAAGGACCTCTACTGGAAATAACAAGGACCCTAATATAAATAAAAATGACCCCAATGGAAATAATAAGGGGCCCCAAGGGAAATAATAAGGGTTCCCAGGGGAATTGTTATCTGTTTACAATAATGTTTTTACCACTGAATATATCATTACTTAGTTAATCTTAAGTTAATTTTAAGCCTACCCATAATGCTCTGCATACAAGGGGCTTTGGCATGCTGCACTTTAATAACTGTATTTCCTTTGTATTTCTCTGTATCATTTTCAAATTAATAAATAAATAATAAGGGCTCCAATGGAAATAATATGAAGCCCAATGGAAATAAGTCACCGACTTTTTCTGGGGTTATCCTACATGACACTGATAATTGTACTGATGTGTACCTGCACCTAAATAAACTTATTAGTTCGGGAACTTTATTAAATGAAACTTTTCGCCCCAAGTGGCTTCGTCAGGGCTATAATAAATGTCTTGAACAGTACACCTCAGTGGAACTCTCACTTTATCTGATCTTTTTTCTGGGTTATCCTGGGTAATTTACATGCTACTAAAGTATGACACTTGTACTTATATGTACCTGTACCTAAATAAAGTTACTTACTAGTGACCACACCACTAAACACGTTACCAGATGTTAATACTCACACACCAGTACTGGCAGGTGTGACAGCCAGTTTGACTCTCCACTTGTGTTATGCTCCAAGTCTGCTGACCATAAGTTGCCTCTTATAAGTAACGTAAATATTTGCAAGATTTACTAGATAAGATAAGATAAGATAAGGTAGTTTTGGTGTGAAGTTAAAAGTCTGTATGCCCTTTCATTTTACCATCGTCTGTATAATATATATATATATATATATATATATATATATATATATATATATATATATATATATATATATATTTATATATATATATATATATTATATATATATATATATATATATATATATATATATATATATTATATATATATATATATATATATATATATATATATATATATATATATAATATATATATACACACATATATATATATATATATATATATATATATATATATATATATATATATATATATATATAAATATATATATATATATATATATATATATATAATATATATATATATATATATATATATATATATATATATATATATATATATATATATAATATATATATATGCAAAACAACCACTGTGAAAGAATAGAGAAGTTCCAAGCGCTTTCGTGACTACTCACATTATCAAGGAACAATGAAAGTAAAGCATCAAAGGAAGGTATATAAAGGGGTAGCCCACACCTCACTATCAGATCCCACAACAACGAAACACCTGACGCGAGACAGCAGGCCCGCTGGCCCAACTAGACAGGTCCTTCATACAACCCACCAACAAACTATTCTACCCAAGAAATAAGAAATTTAAAAAAATATTATTTGTCCAATGTATTATTAAATTATTCCCAAATTCTATTAATTATAAATGGATCTAATTTATATAAACCAAAGGAAATATTCATATTATTGTCAAAACTGTTTTTTATGAAACAAGATTCAATTATATTCCTGTCGACCATGGACTTGCTTGATACTACTTTCTCAACTTTTTGAAAATCAATTGGATGGAAGTCGGTTCCTGACCAGCCGGGCTGTGGCTCGTACGTTGGTTTGCGTGCAGCCAGCAGTAACAGCCTGGTTGATCAGGCTCTGATCCACCAGGAGGCCTGGTCACAGACCGGGTCGCGGGGGCGTTGACCCCCGGAACTCTCTCCAGGAAAACTCCAGATGGTTAAAATCTCTTACATGAATAAATAGAGCATTGGAATCTTGTCCAGTTCTAATGCTATATTTATGTTGTTTTAATCTTAGTTCGAGATTTTTACCAGTTTGACCGTAATAAACTTTATCGCAAATTTTACAAGGAATCTTATAGACACATCCATCAGCATTTTGTAGAATAATAAGAAAATATTATAACCTTCATATTATAATACGGTAAAAGGACCCCAATGGAAATAAGTCACTGTGTCTGACTTTTTCGGGTTATCCTAGGTTCTCTACACATATGCTGCTATGTATGATAATTCTATGTAACTGTATTTGTGTATACCTGAATAAACTTACTTACTTACTTGGGGGGAACTCTTTATCAAAAGTTTTTTTTACTGTCAAGATTTTTGATTACAACTTTAATATTAAAAGTCTTAAGAAGTTTTAGTTTAATAGTTTAATATGTTTATTATGCACCCCATACCCATCCTGTGGGCGGTAGTCAAAAGATTACAGAGGTACATAATTGGTCCAGGGACTGGACTCCAAAGTTTTGATAGCTGAGCAAGTTACAGAGGTAATGAACTCACAATTTACAAAGGTAATGAACTCACAATTTACAAAGGTAATGAACTCACAATTTACAAAGGTAATGAACTCCAGGTAAGTCTGGTCACAATCATGACAAGTTACAAAGGTATTTACAGATTACAGAGGTACGTAATGGGTCCAGGGACTGGGCCCCCAAAGTTTTGATAGCTGAACTAGGTACAAAGGTAATGAGCTCACAAGTTACAAAGGTAATGAATTCTGTAGAATGGTTACTTACGTTTATACTTTGGCTACAATCATGAACAAATTATAGAGTAATGAGCAATTCACACTTCCACACCCGGTCACAACTGTAATGAGTTATTGGTGCAAATATTGATTGTTGAGTCACACACACCACACACACACACACACACACACACACACACACACACACACACACACACACACACACACACACACACACACACACACACACACACACACACACACACTTTAGTTTAATATCTTTATGCACCCCATACCCATCCTGTGGGCGGTAGTCAAAAGATTACAAAGGTACATAATGGGTCCAGTGACTGGACCCCAAAGTTATGATAGCTGAACTAGTTACAAAGGTAATGAACTCCAGGTAGATCTGGTCACTAATCATGGCAAGTTACAGAGGTAATGAATCAGCTTCACTCCTATACATGGTTACAGTCATGAACAAATTACAAAGTAATGAACCACTGATACGTCCACACCTGGTCACAATTGTAATGAGTTATAAATACAAATATTAAGTGGATCATACACCCACACTTAAGAAGAGAAGGCATATCAACCAAGTTTTCATGGTAAGGGAGAACCAACATATTTTTAGTTGAATAAGGCTGGTTGTCCCTTTTTAGATTGTAAAAAAGTATTTCTAGCAACTTTAAAAGATTTATCAATTACATTTCTTGGGTATTTCAAATCATTACCTATTTCATAAATTTTGGATATTTCCTCATCTATGAACTCAGGACTACAAGTTCGTAAAGCTCTCAAAAACATTGATGAGAAAACAGACAGTTTGACTCTATCTTGATGCGAGGAATAATAGTGGACATAGGAACAGTTATTTGTAGGTTTTCTGTAAATTTTAAATTTGAATTCATTATTACCCTTAATAATTAAAACATCTAGAAAAGGCAATGAGTTATTTTCTTCAAATTCAACGGTAAAATTTATAGAATGGGCTAAGCTATTTAAATTGCCAAGGAAATGGTGTATATGGTTGATATGCCTTCTCTTCTTAAGACTTTTAATATTAAAGTTGTATTAAAAAATCTTGATACAGTAAAAAACTTTTGATAAAGAATTCCCCCCAAAATGCTGATGGATGTGTCTATAAGATTCCTTGTAAAATTTGCGATAAAGTTTATTACGGTCAAACTGGTAAAAATCTCGAACTAAGATTAAAACAACATAAATATAGCATTAGAACTGGACAAGATTCCAATGCTCTATTTATTCATGTAAGAGATTTTAACCATCCAATTGATTTTCAAAAAGTTGAGAAAGTAGTATCAAGCAAGTCCATGGTCGACAGGAATATAATTGAATCTTGTTTCATAAAAAGCAGTT